GCATTGGGACTAAAACCAAAACATTACCACAGCAGGTTTTTTGCTGCATATTGACCTCAAGGGCAAAGTAGTTGGTCCCATCACTAACAAGAAGGAAATAATGTAGAAAGGTGTTTGGAAAGTTTACCACTTGCTAGTGGTTTGTATTTCATTGTCGCCCTTTAACTCTGCATATGGGTCTATGACTGCTTAAAGGGAGACCACATACAATAATTAACAGTTCAGAATAAAATTCAATATTCTGCAAAGGCTAAGCAAAAATGTGATCCATGTTGCTGAGGCAAAAGACAGGGCTAGAAGTGACTTCTTACAAGAGACCAAGTTCTGTACCTGAGCTGCAGCAGAAAATCTCTGATGAAGATTCAAGATTTGGCTCTGATGAGAGCCAAACATGGCTCTCATTCACGAGTAACAGTTCTCATGGTCAGTTTTAGATAGCAACAGGAGAAGGCAAGAGAAAAAAGAAACCACAAATTATTCAACTAGTTCTCAAACATACTTATAAATTGAATTTATTTTCTTGAAATTCAATGTTTTATTTCATTTACAGTTTGCAGCTATTAAATATGAGGCAGTTGCTGTGTGAGTTGTTCCAGTACACACAGCTGCATTAACAGCTAGCTACAAACACTTTTTACACTAGCGGATACTTTCAAGAACCAAATGTCTCTTCAGGAAGTTTTACCAGCAACTTTTTTCATGTGCTTATGCAGTTTCAGCGATTTTGGTATGTTATTTTCCACATACATGCACTTTTTTCTGTCTCTGCTGCCTTAAAACTAATTTCCATTCATCTCTGGGGCAACACTAACAATGACACTTCCATCTGTTCCTCGACAGGATTTGCTATCCTGTAACTGTTGACATGCAAAGGGCATTTTCTATTTTGATTGGACATTAATAGTGCTTTCTTTGGATTAATCATTTTAAACTGAACTATGAAATAGCTTTAAATATATAGGTCATAGCAATTATTGTGTTATTTATATTACTAAACAAGTCTGCAGCAGATGGCCTCCAGGGCTCTGGCCAGAAGAACCGAACTCCTGCAGATTTATTTGGTGCTTAGAGATACTACCAACTAACTTCTCCAACCTGCTTGAATGCCATTGTGCCTCTCATTTGATGCCAGCAAAAATATTCCAGGCTTATTTGTTTCAGCACCAATATTCCTCCAGGCCTTCCTGGTACCTGGCTAAATAAAATGTTCCTGCCTGGGCCATGGGTCAGAAGCCATGCCCCTGCTGTAAAATGAAGCAGCACCAGAGACCCTTAGCCATCCAAGGCATGCAGCCTGGCCACATCTACACTTGCTAGTACTTGGCTCAGTTCCTTTTTGGAGCTAGGCGGTACCACTGTGGCCATTAGACAAAGTTGTTATATTGTTATAGTTGTGTAGGGGTTTTTTCATTCATAAGTGCCTGAAAAATACAATGACTGTACTGCAGCCCTCCAGGGTGACTTCTCCATTTCACAAAATGTGGGCTGGATACAGTGTGAAGGCATGGGCTGGGTGAGAATGCAAAGGCTGCTAGGACAGCTCTGGAAGACCACATGAGGTGAAAAACATCATGTTTGGTGGAGGCTTTTTCATCCTGACTACTTAATGTGGCTTATGGTGCAAGTCCACGGCGCTGAATGCACCCAGGACTGTTCATCAGAGTGTTCACAGACCCAGAACAGGGCAATGCTTGACCAATCTGAACAACCAGCGGTTCAGCACTAAAGGACACTCACTGGGCCTGTTTCATGTATCAGCAAAAACATAACCAGGGAAGTAATGCCAAATACTCATGAAAATCTGACCTTATAAAGCGCTACCCAAGCTTTCATAACATAAATTTTACTTTTTCCCTACGCCTGAATTAAACGAGCCTTTAAATGTATTTATTGTATTCCACCCTGATCTACCAAAATTTTTTATGCATGTGAGCCACTCTAAGATCACTGTTTTCCAGGATACTGTTTGTTTAAGCAAGCCTATGCATGTCCAGAAACTCTGGGACCATTGTTCTATGTTAGATCATTCACATGCTCAAAGTTTTGTGTTTGCTGTACTGTGACTTTATATATTAAAAAAAAAAAAAAGCACCTGAAACCAACATTATATACATATATATATATATATGTATATAAAATAGATAATATTATATGCAACCTTCAAACTTCTGATTCCAAAGCCTTGCAGTTGTATTTTTTAGTGTTATCATACAGGAATACCTACAAAAATGTTACTGCTGCCATTTATGATATGAGCATAACTCAAAGGCACAAGGTCTGCATGTACTCACACTTTTGGGCACAATAAGAAAATCAACACTGTGTCAAGTTCATTTTTTTCCAAGGAGGTGTGGAATAATGACATTTTCCTACCTAAAGTTTCCCTTTGCTCACAGACCAGGGCAAAGTGCCTCTTCTACAAAGTGAAAGAGCTTTTTGTGACTTCACTACAGTAACTGACCAACTCTTGCTCACATCAGAAGAAATACATGCATTCATTATTTTAATATCACACATGAGCTAACCCACTGCTGCCAAATCAATTTTATAAACAGTTTAATAAAACATACTCTGATCAACAATACATCAAGCACCTCAGTGGTTCTTTTATATATTTGCACATTAGACAAACTGAGTTCTGGAATAAGAAATGACCTGAAGGATTTGATGTGAATCTCAGAAAAAAAAAGTGATGTTAGTTGCAAATAGGAACATGAAAACTGTATCAGATCAGGCCAAAAGTTCATTCTGTCTCTGACAGCCTCCAACAGTTGTGCCAAGGAAAGGGCAAGTACATCAGGCTACTTCCCTTGTGCAAGCTCTGGCAGAGTGACAGCTCTCAGGGCTACCTGAGCCTTTACAGAGCATTCTCACGTTTAACAGTCCCTGATAGATTTTCTTTTTCCATAAATCTGCCTTATCTTTTTGCAAATTCCAGTGAAATTTTAGGAATCTGTGACATTTCCAATGAAGTTTAAGACTACTTAAAGTACTTTTTGTTTTGAGACTGCTGCCTATTAGCCTAATTTGTTTTCCAAAGGTTTTGCATTAGAAATTACAATGAGGAATCACTGTCCATTCAACTTGGTTTCACAAACCAATGCCATTATTTTCCCAAGCTACTTTTCTCATTAGCTTGTCTTCCAATTTCCATTTTAATTTCTACTTACTGTGTGGAGGTATCTCTGGGAAAAATTTTGTCAGATTTTCCATATCTTTTGTAGATATGGAAAATCTTTTTGCTGTACCCCTTCTGAGAGACAGGAACAGCAATCCCCGTCCAAGCAGAGAGCATGTCACCATCACACAGAGTAAGAATCATGACATTCACTTCCCAATGGCTCCTAAATATCATCTGATTGTGGAAGCACAAGGCTTTATAGTACATCTAGACAATCAGCTTTATCTCTTTTCCTATATCCTTTATCTCATATGTCAACATGTCCATCATTTTATTGTTCAGTAGGAATCAAGAAGTCCTTCTGTGACCTGACAATTTTTCTTAAATCTAAATAACTCAATGTCAACAGCAGATTTTACTACTCCAGTGTCTTCCCCCTTTTTCAGATTATTTATGCCTGTGTTGAACAGTACTGACCTTCAGACAAACTCCTTTTAAGTCCTACCTGCTACACAATCGATCCATTGAATAAGATGATAATCAATTCCTAACCTTTCTTTTCTACCCTATCTTTCTACCAAGTATCCACCCATCTGAAGGTTGCAACCTTTATCTCATTGAGCTTGTTTACCACTGCACACCACCAATGCACACACTAAGGTGAAGTATTCCAATTTTTGTTTTGAGTTTGTGCAAAGTCAGGAGCTTGTAAGACACAAATGGCTGGCTCCCCAGTCATTAAAACTTTACACTATTTACATGTTTTAGCCAACAATGCCATCAGCATTACAGAATTTTTTTCATTAATAAGCACTCACACCCCTTATATGGTAGTTAAAACTCTTGTTTATCATGATAATTAGTCCACATGCACAGTTCTTTCCTCCATTTGAGTTGAGAGTCTGTTTAGAGTAAGTGGTCAATGAGCTGATTCCCATGATTTCCTACCGCTGGACTTACCTTTCCTTCAGTTACTGCCCATTTCTGCTGACTTTGCTCCTGGTAGCTGTCATCCAGACAGCTCCTTCATCTTGGGATTGACTACCCTTTTCCTTTAAACAACTGATTAGTCAAGCATGCAACATTCACAGTGCAATTGCTTAATCATAACTGCCTCATTATAGCTACTGATTAACAACTAAAACAAATTGCAGTTTGAGTTAAATCCTGAGGGGCTCAAATCTTAAATGGCTCAATAAAACATGACTCCTGAATCTTCTAAAAACCTTTAATGAAAATTCTTGCCCAAACCAGGAGGGCCAACTATGCCTGGTGCACCACAAGTATTGCCAGCCAGTCAAGGGAGGTGATTGTCCCACTGTGCTCTGCACTGGTATGGCCTCACCTTGAGTCCTGCGTGCAGTTTTGGATAACAAAAAGACAAAGGTATTAGAAAGTGTCCAAAGGAGAGCTACAGATATGGTGAAGGTCTAGAGGGAAAGCCATATGAGAGCAACTGAGGTCACTGGGCTTGTTCAGTCTGGAGAAGCGACTGAGGAGAGACCTCATTGCAGTCTTCAACATCATCATGAGGGAAAGCCAAGGGGCAGGCACCAATTATTCTTTCTCTTGTGACCAGTGACAGAACCCAAGGGAATGGCAGGAAGCTGAGCCATGGGAGGTTTAGGTTGGATGTGAGGAAAAGGTTATTCCTCCAGAGGGTGGCAGGGCACTGGAACAGGCTCCCCAGGGCAGTGCTCACAGCACCAAGCTTGACAGAGTTCAAGAAGCATTTGGACAATGTTCTCAGGTACATGGTGGGATTCTTGGAATGTCTCGTCCAGAGCCAGGAATTGGATGTGATGGTACAGTGTTGTAATCTTGTTGTTGTATTTCTAAAGTCCTATACTGTCGCAACCATATTTCTAAGGTCTCATACCTTCTCAGTGATACTTCTTGGGGGCAGTTCTTCACAGCTCTGACTTCTTCTCCTGCTTGTTGCTCCTTCTTTGTCAGGGCTCCTTGTCAGCTCAACTCGACTAGCCAACCCCAACCCCTTTTATCCTAGTTATCTTCACTAGCTACAGCTGCAGCCTATCAAAAACAACCAGGGCTTATCAGGGCAAGGCCTATATACAGATATTCAACATACAATACAGATATTTTACTAAGACTCCTACTATAGTACAGATGTGTCCCTTCCAACTCAGGATATTCTATAATTATATGATTCTGTGTTCACTGGCCTGGTTTGCCTTGGCAGATGAAGTCACTTGACTCCTCCAAAGAGTCACAGAGATTTCTGAGGCACCATGCTCCTCCACGGAAAATGAAGCCGATGGTTCTCAAGGGCACCATATCTATTCCTATTTCATTTCCAATTGTGGTTGTTATTCCTACCACTGATTTGATCAACATGCATACCAACTTTAGGTTTTGGCTAGAGGCAGTACTTCCCAGTCCTCCAGCACCTCCTGTAGCATGTGATTACATAGTCCAGCTGCTTCATGCCTGAATCCCTGTGTAACTCCTGAATAAATACCATCCAATCTTGCCAATTTTCTACTATTCAATTTATCTGCCAACCTGGCTTCTACTGGAAACATCTCTTCCAATACTTCTACCCAAAAAGCAATATTTTAGCATGAAAACCTCCCTGAGCTCCTCTCTGATAAGTATGAGGTTTCGTTTATTCATTACATTTTCTCTGCGCTCCTTTCACACCTTACCCAGCAGGCATGCAGACTCTGTGTCAGGTTCCTGGTACTTAGGGAAAAATTTACGGCTACTTTTATCATCTTCACAGAACAACAGAATCAATTAGGTTGGAAAAGACCTCTGAGATCATTGAGTCCAACCTATGACCTAACAGCAGCATGTAAACTTGGCCGTGGCACAGAGTGTCATGTTCAGTCTTTCCTTAACACCTCCAGGGATGGTAACTCCACCACCTCCCTGGGCAGCTCACTCTGAGGTCTAATCATCCTTTCTGTGAAGAATTTCTTCCCAATATCCAACCCAAACTTCCCCTGGCGCAACTTAAGACTGAGCTTATTCTCTTCTGTCCTCTTACTAGTTGCATGGTGTTCTTTTGCAAGTTGATCCTCAAAACATCATTTTTAAAACAAAAAAATTTAAGTGGGGAAGAATGTGTGCACTTTAGTGTCTTGCAACAGTCCAGGTGCTCTGGTCCAGTTTCCTCACTTAGATGCAGCTAAGGGAAACATCCTTGGGGATGCTGCATGACAGCCAGCTCAAAATGAGCTAGGAACATGACCAGGTGGCCAAGAAGGCCAATGACCCATATCAAGAACAATGCTGCCAGCCAGACTAGGCCCTGGTGAGACTGCACCTCCAGTAGCGTGCTCAGTTTTGGGCTCCTGATTTTAAAAAGGTCATTCATGTGCTAGAGTATTTGCAGCAAAGAGCAAAAAGGCTTATGAAAGGCCCGGAAAACACTATGGGGTATTATGAGGAACAGCTGAGGGAGCTAAGGGATGACCTCTTTGCTCTCTAAAACCACCTGGCAGAAGGTGATAGTGAGGAAAGGGGTGGTCCCTTCTGCCATGCCTACAGTGAGAGGAAATGGCCTTAAACAGACTGGGGAGATCCAGATTAGATACTAGAAAAAAAGAAATTCATTGTTAGAGTGGTCAGGCATTGGATTAGGCTACCATTGGGGGTGTTTAGGAGGTGTCTGGATCTGGTGCAAGGTTGATGTGGTTTAGTGGTTTTGGGGTTGCAGCAGCAGCAGAGGACTGATGGTTGGACCGGATATTTCCACCTTGGTGATTCTACAATTCCAGCCGTCAAACATACTGAAGGATAAGCCTGCACTTCGCTACCCCCTTCTCTGCCATTTTTTAGGCACCCCAGCTCATTTTGCTCTTTCAAAACTACCTATTCATTTTCTCCTTTGCCAGAATTCCCAAAGAAACCGTGACCTGAGAGAAAGAGTGAATGACAGGCAGGAGGAAACCCCCGAGACGCGCGTCCCGGGATAACCTCCCTCCTCTCTTGCTCCTGCCATTCCCCAGCGGGCGGCGGGCGCCGGAGGCCGGGTGAGCACGGCTGCCTAGGAAGGGCAGGGTAGGAAGGACTGGCTAGGAAGGGCTGGGT